CTAACCCAATGATAATAGTAATCACCCCAAAAAAAGAAAAATAAACAAGTGTATAAACCACCGTGAAATCAGTAGGGACTTGTTTTTCATCTTTTAAGGACCATTTTTTAGGGAATGGTTTCACCATCAATCACCAAGAAGCTGAGCTTTGATGGTGTGAGAGAAGAAACACCAAGTGCGACCTGGCCATGGCTGCTGATACCACCGCAACTGCTCCAACTCTGTAAATTGAATGCTGGAAGCGATGAGGAAAACATGGGGGGCTTCCAGGACTTACACATGTTGATATATTTTGAGGCCAACAAAATGTACAAATGGGGGCATTCTAATTTGATATGTCCTGCAAATAATGCCCAATGATTTGCCAGGAGTTCCTATGGATTTCAAAACTCCAAAAGTAGTTGTTGTCTCAACCCCGTTACTCATCAGTTCGTAATGTGACTACAGTAAGTGCTATCGGGGCGAGTCCACACCTATGGCAAGATACTTCGGAGTTGTCAGCAATAATTCGTCGGCTACCAGTGTTTTGATGTTCAGGAGCCCACTGAAGTCTGGAGCTCGCGATTTAGGTCCGGCAGTGCCCACTGAGATGTGGCACTCGCGGCTACGGTCCGGCTGTGCCCGCTGAGGATGCAGGAGTGCCCACTGAAATCTGGCGCTCGGTTGAGGTCTGGCAGTGCCCACTGAGATCTGGAGCTCGCGGTTGAGGTCCGGCAGGCGCTCGCGGTTGAAGTCCGCCAGTGCCCACTGAGATGTGGAGCTCGCAGTTGATGCAGAGGCGGAGTCCGGGCAGCACCTCTGATAAAATCTAGAGACCCTCACCTGGCAGGTGGGGAAAAATGAAAAGTCAATGAACTAAGCAGAAAACAAAACACGTCGAGTAGATGGGGGGTTTGCTCGGACAGGCATGATAATTATGGTGTTTAACTGTTGGCCTTGATTCATCACTTCTTGGTATTTGAGTCATGTGTCGAAAATGATGTTTTCACCCCAGCGCCATGGTGATGCGTGACTATTTCTGCTTATCGCGTGTAATGTGGTCATGTCATATATATTATGGATACCAATTATTTACACAGGCATATGTTCGGAGTATTTGACAACTTCCATTTGTTTGAAAACTCGGAAGTTGGTATTTCATGCTTTTGAAATAGTTTCAACTGTCATTCGTCGTCCTTCTCCATTTGGATCCCGGAGTCATCAACATAAAGGCTTTGTGATTACGTGAAAGCGGTGAAAGTAAGTTTGGAGAAGTTCAAGTGATTCAAGTGAAATTCCAGTATTTTATTCTGGTTGTGCTTGAAAAAACCCTATGCAAAACACAATGGAAACCATGTTTTAAGATAATAAAGTAGCATCGCAAGTGCGGTGAACTTCAAGTAGAGGTAAGTTCAGCCAGCCAGGCCGGGCAGCATCAAATCAATGGGGACTTCCTGCAACTGCACAGGCGAGGAAAAGTCATGGCAATGTCATGGCAATTTCATGGGGACCTATGGAGAAAAAATGATGATCACTGGTAAACCATTGGATCCGAAATGGCGGACATGGCGGAGTTTTCACTTCCAGTTGACTCAAAAATTCTGGGGTTTCATGAAAAGATACCCTACATCAGGTATACTAACAGACCCGCAATATCGGTAATTCTTAGTATTGAATCATGCATGTTTTGGGAACATATATTGAGCCATTCCCATCTTTCAAACTACCCCTCCTCCACCAAGAAATGGCACTCAACTGCCTGTCCTTCACTGCCAGAATCGTGGAACACTCAGAGAGGTCTTCACGAATCTGTGGCACCGGACCAAGAGAAACATCAAGGTCCATTCAACCATGACCATCATGAACCATTAATAAGCATTGACTGACAGACTGAGTATCCAAATCATAGGAAAAAATATCTGTGATTTATATCTCCTGGAACAGGGGAACTGCGACGGAAACTGGATGTGATGCTCTTCTCAAGTTCGCGCGTTCAGCGAATTCCACTCATTTGAGGACGAGGAATCATGGCATTTTGGATCTTTGAGGAGTCCGGGCACCTAAAGTGATCTAAACTTTAGATTAAAATTAAAGAACATTGAAAGTTCAACGGATTACAGTAAAAGCAACATTACTGTGGGTTTTCCTTCGAACAATCGGCAATTCCTGATGCCTTGCAGTGGCCACCCCCCACCCTTCCTCAGCACCAGCTTCCTGTGCAAGGGCAAAAATGGCTGAGAATGTTTAAGACCTGATCTCGGCCACGAATTGGGGTACCCCGTGCCAGGAAAGAAAAACATTGTGCAAATTCAATTCAGCAATCTTCATTCCAAACAAATCCATACGCGCTTCGAAAACATCAACGAACTCCTTGTAATGGAAACGGGAATCCTATCAACCTCCCAAGATCCAGGGAAGGATATCGGATAGCATGTTTTCAACAGGCTGCAACATATAAAAACTGCGTGGGTTGCAGAGTGATGTTAGTTGATGTATTATATACAGTATATATTATAGTATATATATGTTTCCCAGAAAATCATGCTGAAAATGATCTCCAAATAAAGTGAATCAGCCATAGCTGGATCTATCTTCACCGATCATCCCAGTGTTCACCAAATGGGCCACAGTGGTCACAGTATGTCACAGTCCTCATACTCCTCGTCTGTAAAGACTCTCCGTGTGCATGGCTGCACCACCACTTTGAGTCCTGAAGTACCAGCTAAAAACAATCCCTTCGTGCAGTACCCCATATTGTCCCCTTATAATACAATAAAAAAACACATATATATATATATATAGATAGATATATACTATAGTGATCCTCAAGTTGATATCGTAATTATATGTAATTGTTACATATTTTTACATACGATATATCAATGTAATAATTTATGATATTTGATAGTGTTTTATATAATAGGATACATGTTTGCACATGCATACACATACTATACAAATATATACGAATCACATGATTGATGTCAAAAACCTCACATACATGTTGAATACTCATGTTTGGAGTGTCATACAATTCTGGTGCGGGACGGCTTCTCGGAATTGATATGTTTGTTTTTTTTTACCGGGTTCTTTACTGGGTTATCGATGGTGTCCGATGTTGGATTTAAGCGAAAAAATAGTGCCAACATCTGGAAATGCCATGGACATATTCAGCATCTGCGGACAAGTGGGCCGCATTTGGGTATATATACTTATTTCAGAGTTTTGTGCTGCTTTTTGTCGATCTTTCTAGCATCTGTCTTGGTAAGGGTTTTGCACCCTTGCGTTGCACTTGCAACGCAGAAGCTCCTTAGGGGCTGCTGCTTGCTCATGGGGCGGGCGCATCTCACTGACACTATGCTTTTTATATGTTTTTGTACTTTGCTGCTTTGGTTAGACTATAGGAAGCATCTCGCAGGCACTTTGCTCTTGCAGCTGCGTATGGAAGTTACAGCGTAAAAAGCATCAGGATCATATTATCATCATATTATGATCATAAGATCAGTTAATATTGATCTTATGATCATATATATATATCATATATATCATATATATGATATATATGATATATATATATATGATATATATGATATATATATATATATTATATTATATATATATATATATGATATATATCATATATATCATATAAATGATATATGTGATATATATATATATATATATATATCATATATATCATTTATATGATATATATGATATATATGATATATATATATATATGATATATATAATATATATATAATATAATATATATATATATATATCATATATATCATATATATATATATATATCATATATGATATATATATATGATGTATATATATGATATATATGATGTATATATAAATATATATATATATATATGATGTATATATATATATGATGTATATCCGACGTGACGACTCGCTGAGTCGCCTTGTCTCTGCAGCTCTGCCACATGTCGTGGAGCCAACGGAGCACGCCGCTCCCATTTGTTCCTCGTGGATTCAAAGGTCCACCAAAAAAAGGGAGAAAACATGGGGAACTATGGGAAAACTTAGAAGACAACTCTGGAGAAAACATGAGAAAACTGATTTTCATTGATTTTCTCTGATTCTTGGTTGATTTAAACATGTTTGAGCAAATGAAACCCGTCAGAACATGTCAGAACAGTTGCAATACTGCAATGATATATAGACAATAGATTCGATAACATAGTGATGCAGCGATGGCTGGTGCATGGTCTGTTGACTGGGCAAACGGCTTATCTTCACGCCTTAGCAGGGAAGCTGAACAAAAGCTTGAACTGGCTGACCACAAATTCAATTCAAAAAAATAGTTCATTTGGGTCAACAATATTCTGCTGGCAAACAAGTGAAGGTGCAAGCAAGCACAAACCCATTGACATAATCTTTGGGGCCACCGTATATCAAGTAGAATGTTGGATATGTGATATGTGCGCCTGCTCTTCTTCGCTCTGCACCAGAGTGGACACGTGTGCAATGACATGTCCCTTGAATCATTGATTGTTTTTTGGTGGTTCATGTCAACAGGCTCTTTTCTTGACTTTGCGCGCGCTAAATACCTGCTCAAAACTATTCAGCACGATTTTGTTTGTGCTTCGGATGAACATTATGTTTGCACTCTGAACTCTAATGCACAAACCATTGTCACAAATAGTCGTACAATTCCAAGCTATGATCCTTCAAACATCTTCAAACTACACGTTGTTTACCGGGAAAACAAGAGGATCACCCCAAGGTCCAATCGACCATCGTTGGACCCTGTCGCTCAATTCAGAGTACACATTATGTACACATCTCCGGAGCAAACGAACAGCCGTTGAAATCAGCTGTGAGGAGATTTCCTCCAAGTTGCTCCTTCTTCCAGCATCTCCATTCCCAAAATAATCCTTAAAATCCATCAAAACCGACTGAAAACTGGTGCCCTGGTGGTGTTTCATGGTGTTTTTGTGCTGCTTCTTCCATGACTCCATGATTTTCATCTGATTTTCCATGTGATTTATATAGGCCCTGTATGTTCTTACAATTTGGCACCCATGGAGCGAGACTGTTTCTCGACTCCTCGGGAGATCTTGGACCTCGGGGCCAAGGGAAGCACAAAATTGGGTGCTGAATTTCCAAAAGCAAAGAAAAAAAAAACGGTTCTTCAATTTTTTCCAGTATCTTCCAGTTTCATTTGATCATTCTCTATGATTCATTATAATTCTGTATCCGCCCTGAAATCTCGGAGGGGTCGGGGACAGCCTTAGGAACAAAAAATAAGGGCCGTCTACAACATGGGTCAACTCCTTCAACGGGACCTAACTTCCCCAACGAATATAAATGTTCAAGTAGCAGACCCCCTTTACGGCCACCATGAGACTCAAGGGAAAACACGTTACCGACATTGTGACCTCTTCAAACATCATTCACAATGGAAGTGGGTCACCATCCAAAATGGCCTCTCAAAAAAATGCATCCTTCTTCAGGGGTTTTGAGGCCCCATGAGGCCCCCTTTTAGTAGGGGGAAATTGAACAGGGATCAGTCGGTAGCATTCGATTGCGTCACATAGTCTAAAGCACCTATCAAATCCAACGCACAGTTTGTAGCAAGGCTGCATTGGCTAGCACGTTTTTTTCCTGGAAAGAATTTCTCAATAAAACTTCTATATACTTGTATGATCTGGTACAGGGTGGTACCCCCAGTTATCAGTTGCTTAATATGAACCATTATGAACCATTATGAACCAATATGAACCATTATGAACCAATATGAACCATTATGAACCATATGAACCATTATGAACCAGTATGAAACAGTATGAACCATTATGAACCATTATGAACCATTATGAACCAGTATGTTAACAGTATGAACCAGTATGAACCATTATGAACCATTATGAACGATTATGAACCATTATGAACCATTATGAACCAGTATGAACCATTATGAACGATTATGAACCATTATGAACCAGTATGAACCAGTATGAACCATTATGAACCATTATGAACCATTATGAACCAGTATGAACCAGTATGAACCATTATGAACCATTATGAACCATTATGAAACAGTATGAACCAGTATGAACCATTATGAACCATTATGAACCATTATGAACCAGTATGAACCAGTATGAACCATTATGAACCATTATGAACCAGTATGAGCCATTATGAACCATTATGAACCATTGTGAACCCCATGAAAACTATAGATATCTATAGATATACACCCCTGGCCCAACCCTAGAGTTATTGAAGTGCTGAGGCTTTCTGAGGCCCTCGACACCATCTCGCGTGGCATCATGGGCTTCTTTCCAAACCACTCTCCGCCATCCACGGGCAAAATTTGTCCAGTAATATAGCCTTGGACAAGACTCTCCATTGACCAGGATATGTTACCATTCAAAAATCAGAAAAAGAGGCTGAGTTTCTGATAAGCCTCACTGCACCTCGAAGTTGCAAATTTCGAATGTTCACCTTTTATCACTTTTCTGCACCAAGTACTCACAGCACAACTGAGATCCTCGTGAGCCCAAACCGAGAGGCGGTTTAACGACAAATAGATGCAAGCAGAGGCAATCTCTGCCTTCGTGCCTGCTCGCCTGGACACGGAACCAGACTGGGGATGATCAGGGAGAAACCATAAGTTGTTATATCACAATCTATAGTCTATATAGTCTATAGATATCTATATGGAATTAAGCAGGATGAGACTGAGCAAAATTTGGTCTGGACCATCTTTCTTTAACAACATGTCACAGTCACTGTGGTGCGAAATCTTGTGAATTTACCTTCAAAAGCGCAGAACAGCTCATGCGTGGAGCCCCTTGTTTTAGCATCAACTCCCACTGTGCCCCTTTTGGATGGGGACACATCCTGTCGTGTTTACTGCTTTGGTGTGGTTTCCACAGTCCCAGCTCATAGGTGATTTCAGTCTATTCGCAGTCTCTAGCTTTGTTTCAAATGGGGAATCCCAAGTCCCATGGGTTTATCATGATTTTTTACTGCTGAAATAGCCGTGAAATAGTGGTCTTCCTGTATTCCCTTCAGATAACCCCACGTATCCCCATCAAACTCCTGTTCGTCTCAATCCACGCCTTACAGGAATGTGATCCCAAGAGATTTGATCGGCTTTGCCACCACCTTGGGACCCAATGATCCAGCTTTGGCCGTGGATTTTTTAGGCCGCTCTTTCAAACATGATGATGAAAAGTGATCAAACATGGTTATCTGCTATCCCATATGCCAAACATGGATGGAATATTTACATATATTTACCTATTTTTTTCAAATATATAAATGTGGGTAAATAATGGTAAATATTCCATACATGGAACATATGGCTATGAGCAACCAAGACACTGAGTTTTTCTAAACCTGGTGTGTCAGCGATGGGCCCTGGCGCTACGCAGTTGCAGCGGATGCCAAATTCACCCCATTCCAACGCTAGATTTCCTCGGCGGCAAACATCATTCGTTCAAAGTCCTTTTTTTTTTCCTCTGTGATCCGCCGCACTTTTTCAAAGTCAACATGTAAAAATACCGAACTGCAGCAACACAGACCAGATCGGAATTCGCAGGCATGCAAGATGACTCTTAGCAAATTCAACAATGTATGGACCAATGGAAGTGGCGATGTTTATCAAGGAACAGGCAACTGAAAACTGGTGTGCCAAACTGCTTGGCAAGGCTCTGGTCATCGCGTCAATTGCAGCCTGCATCATCTTGTCAACTCCCCTGGAATAATTTCACCGGTCAACAAAAGATTCCCAATATTCGAAGGTCTGCGCCAACGTATTTTCTCGTTTGTGGTCTTGCTCAGGTCAAGTGTCTGTCTCAAGGATCCCCATTGAAACACGACGGACGACGAAAGACGACGAAGAGGAAAAAACGAGCAAAAGGGTTTCAAGGGTTCCTCTACGGGACCTCCGGGAGAAGAAATTCCAAGGGTTCCTCTCCGGGACCTCGGGGGGGAAAAAATAAAAATAAAAATTTTTTAAAAAATAAGACGGGCACATACCATTGAGAAAAACACATAGCATGTTTTATGCATATTTGCAATGTTCGGTCGCAAGTGTTCTTCCCCGGGGTATGGGTTTGTCTCCGGGATTTTTATTTTATTTTTTATTTTTTTGGCAGCCTTGAGCGCGAACCTTCACTGTGGGAAAACACTTGGCCTTGAGAAATCCTTCGAACATGGGAAAGTTTTCCAGGCATACCGTTGGGAAACCAGGACCTTTGAGGAGGGGAAAAAGAAAGCACCTTTGATACAGGGAGGAGGGTTGAGACAGGCACATACCATTGAGAAGGTAGAAAACCCTTCATCCAGACTTTTGAAATATCATTCAATGACAGGCTGATAATCTCCCAATTGGTTGTACCCGCTTCTTTGTTCTGCACTTTGAAACTGTTGGGATTACACAGTGACGCAATTAATTACACACCAGCCGCAATAATACCTATAAAAATTGTCCCGGCAAGAGACCCCAAACAGCGTGGGCGGAATTTAAAAAGATCATGTATTATAATGTTGGTGAGGATGTTAATGCTGTTGATAATGTTGAAGAAGATATTGATGATGATGATGATGATGATGATGATGAGAATGAGAGGAAGATTATGATGTGGATGTTGAGGAGGAGGAGGAGGAGGAAGAAGAAGATGATGGTGTTGAGGAGGGTGATGTTGAGGAGGAAGACCGATCCCAAGACCGGGAAGCACACTTTGTGCGAGCCTGCGCAGTCCAAATTTACACGGACATTTCACAAGAGCCATTGTGTGTGGAAATTGACAGGGAAAATGCCGGACGCCAAGCCCGCGACACCCGCTTTGTGGGAGCCTGCGCAGTCGAAATGCATGTCAGAAGAAGCATTTTGTGCAGAAATTTGCGGTGAAAATGCCGGACGCTTCTCCCGCGGCCAGCGTTTTGTGCGAGCCTGCGCAGTCGAAATGCACATGGACATGTCACAGGAGGCATTTTGTGTGGAAATTGACGGAAAATGCCAAATGCCCCGGATACCACCTCGATCGAACACCGGACCTTAACACCTACCGTAAGAACCCCTCAGTGTGGACACGCTGTTTGGGTCCTGGGGAATCATCCCCAAATCCGGGCTTTGGTTTTCCTGACTTCTGGAGAAACTGAAACTGCCAGCTGCCAGTCTCCCTGCATGGCCTTAGCAGCTGCAGGTGCTGTCTGGTACCAGGTGGCAGTGTAGTGCAACGTTGCAGTAATACTGGTCCTTGGATGGGACAGCGCCGCGAGCCGTTTCCGGGATCTTCAGCATGACAACGACCACCACCACCACCGGCCACAGCAGCAGCACCAGCACCAGCACCACCACCAAAAACAAAAGTAACTACCATCTACTTCAACCCTTTCAATTGCCCCCGAGTTGGGGACTGACTTTCTGATCAACTACATTTTCCCGCGAGCCTGCCGGTGCACTGTCAATAGATCATGAGATCCATGAGTTTTATAAGAGATCCCCACAGGAGATCTCTGTGAGAGATTTTCGAAGTAAGATCTTTGTTCAAGTTCTCTACAAAAGATCTCTGAGCAGGATCTCTGTTCTCTTCACCAGTTCTCTGTACAAGATCTCTATAAGAGGTCTCCTGGCAATGTCTCTGTACAGGATCTCTATAGCAGCCCTGTTGACGGGATCTCTGTAAGAGACCTCTTGACAAGATCTCTGCAACAGGTCTCTGTACAAGATTTCCATAAGAGGACATAAGAGGTGTCCTGGCAAGATTTCTGTACAAGATCTCTTTAAGAGGTCTCTTGGCAAGATCTCTGTGCAAGCTCCCTATAAGAGATCTCTTGGCAAGATCTCTGTACAAGCTCCCTATGAGAGGTCTCTTGGCAAGATCTCTTGAAGAGATCTCTGTACAAGCTTTCTATAAGAGCTCCGTTGACAAGATCTCTGTAAGAGACCTCTTGGCAAGATCTTTGTACAACATTTTTGCTAAGAGCTCTCTGTACAAGATCTCTTTGAGAGGTCTCCGTGGCAAGGTCTCTGTATGCAATTTTGGTGGTCAGCGTTCTGCTCTAAAATTGTGTGTGATGCGTTTCAGGCCTTCGTGTATGTGACTCAGCCTTTCCCAGCAAATTAAATCCAATTCATATATCCAGCGAATGGATGCGAATGGCACCATGGCAATTGATCGCATCTAGGGCGTCGGCATTGGACCTCCAGGTGCCATCGGCCAACTTTCAGCGATCTATACGCAGCTCGTTGTAGTCCTAGTTATCGGATAAGATTGATATCTCCCAAATTTCTCAAACTATCTCAAACAAACGGATGTGGTGCTGATTGTATTCATATACACTATCTGACTCTATATATATATGTATATATATATATACGTATTTCGTTTCGGTGCATTGTGGTTGGATTTGGTGTTTGAACCAGGACCTTTGACTGTTTCGAGGTTGTGCTAAGCTGGCTCTTTAGTTACTTTAGTTTATTCCACATCTAGATTTGTCCTTACAAATAAAGCACCCGAAAATCCTGTTGTCCTTCACCATCTTTAAAAAAGTCAGAAATCTCGACCGTCATTTTCCAGGCAAATTTATAGCCTTCCAGCACCATCCTATTCGCTCAAGTTCCAAGTTTCACCACGCCACCGAAGGCCGATTCTTTCAGGGCTGAAAAAGCGGCCCGACACATGTTGAAGGTGCCAAGGGTGTCGATCTCCATAACCTGGACATTCTGCTGGAGGGATATCCATTACTCCAATGATTGAATGGTTTGGAAGACCATGGTGCCCAGTCAAATTGTCATATTCAAACTGGAGTACTCACAAATTTTAGATACAAACAGTTGAAAAAAACGGAACTACAAAATACTACAAATATATTTGGGGGTGCAAACCACCATGGTTTCCTTCAACATAAACCATTGAATCACCATTTTTCAAGACTGGGTCAAGCCATTGGTGTCCATTCGTGTCAATCGCCAAGGATGTCCCCTGACATGGGAAAAATTGAAAGGGGATGGCTAAGCACACCATGTGCTTTCCAAAATGTAATAATTACACCTCTCGATTCTGGTGTGCGAAATGGGGGTTTGCCATGGCTTCGTCGTCTGTTACTGTCATCCACAAACCGGGAAAGGGACATGACATGAGTGAAATGACATAATCAGATTGTATGGCTGTGAGTCGGATGATACCAACAAAACATCGCACAGGTCCAGAGTCCTCACATGTCCACAGCGTCAAGAAACAGCTTTGAACCCGTTGCTCGATATCTCTTCTGCAGCCGCCAGAAAGTTGCCTGGTGGCTGATGCCGAAAATATGTTTACACACACCTGTGATGTTTGGAGCAAAATTCACTGCTTTAATTTTATAGTATCCCCCCCAAAAAAAAACTTTTACCAGTCAAATGTTTTTTCCCCACCTGCCAGATAGATGCCAAATAGAATGTCAGAATATATGTCAGGTAGAATGTCAGAATATATGTCAGAATATATGTCAGATAGAATGCCAAATAGAATGCCAAATAGAATGTCACACAGAATGTGAAATAGAATGCCAAATAGAATGTAAGATAGAATGGCGGAGTATATGCCAAATATAATGCCAGAAAGAATGTCAGAATAGGATCACTCGAAGTAAACTATTTTTTTGTGGTTGCCAAAAAGGGAAACCGAAATGTCGAAGCAAAGTAGATTGGGCACCAGGTGCTGGTGACTGGCCATCAATGAATCACCTTGACACCGATAATTTGCCGAAAATTGATAAATTGCGGCCCTATCCATGTTTGAGTCCGTCACATCTATGGTTTCCGGGTCCAGGTCCTGTACTACAGCTGCGTGCTGCTCACTGCTGATGCTGATTGGTTATGAAGTAAAATGCTGGAGTTAACCTTCCATCAAATTGATCAGATCACATTTGTCACGATTTCTCGTGAAGCATCACATCAAAACAAATACTTTCATGTACCCTCTGGTAATTTAACATAGCTATTGAAAATGGCCATTTATAGTTGATTTTCCCATTAAAAATGGTGATTTCCAATAGCTATGTTAGTTTACCAGAGGGTACGATCATGTGCCTGTCATTCTTCAAAGAGAATCTTTCTCAACATGCTGAGGGTTACCATGACCAAAATATCATTCACCATAGTCATCCACCATGATCATCCATCCGGGATTACACACAGACCCTGAGCTTTGCCCAAGCTAACAAACACATTATGTTATCAAACATGTTATGGACATGGACAATACAAGTAAAGGTTTACATTGGGGATAGGGTTAGGGTTTAGGATTGACCATGGATCATCGTAATAGTAATGATTATCATCATCAACATCATCATAATAGTAATGATTATCATCAGCAGCAGCAACAGCATCAGCATTGTCCAAACGCTTATTGGAGAAGAATCAAAACTACCCGCCCGCCCCCATGGAACAATACAATAAAGCTGTTGGGGTTTATGTTAAGTGTAGGGTTTAGGGTTTAAGGTTGACCATGATCACCATGATCATCGCCACCATCAGCAGCATCGTTCAAACACTCATTGAGAGTCCAGGCAAAATCTCAGGGTCACCCCCATTGTATGGTCCCAAATATGTGGTTTGATCTCCTACTAAGCCATGGTTTTCGGGTGGTGTTTGACATTAGGGGGAAGGGATTGGATTATTACTCGGTATATCTGGGTGATTGGTAATATACGTACTATTTAATACATATTTGGGACCATACGATGGGGGTGTTGAATATTGGGGGAATGGGATTAATTAATTGGTCGCCCTATCCATTGACTACTGGGGGTTAGTCATATCAATATCCCATCATATCTCATCAATATCCCATGCAACCACGATTTCCAATGGTTACAGTAACCACCCAAAAACATATAAAAAGTGATTTCCTACTAAAATAATAATGAGTTACTTTTCTATCTGTTCGGGGATTCTTATACAGAAAAAATGGATAAATCAATCATCATTCATCATCATCCCCAAGTCATCACTATTATATAGGTAGGATGATGATTAGTAGGGGATACTGATATTGGATATTCATCCCAGGAAATCAATTAACGGTAATTAACGATCATCATCCCCTACTGTTGGATTTATGTATATACATATATATATACGAGTATGTATATATATATATAATCACCTCTAATTAATTGAATATTCATCACTATTAAATAGGATGTTCATCATCCCCAACTCATCATTACAGTATTAGATAGGATGATGATTGGTAGAGGATGCTGATATTGGATATTCTTCATCCCCAACTCATCACTATTAATGACTATTAATGTGATTAATCACTATATATTTACAGTAATGTGATATCATCATCACTAATGATATTGGACTATGAAAATATATCAGCCACTCACATCGAATCGTCATTGATCCCCCCAGATGTCGCTCCTGCAGCGGCATTTACCAAGATATCCAGCGCACCATAGCTCTCCAGCGCCTTTTGGACTGCCCCATCGCAGTCCGCAGCGCTACGGACATCACCGGCGAAGCACCTGAAAAACCATAGCGTTTGAATGGGAAAATCACCTAGAAACGACGGGTTTTTAGTTGTTTTTAGTGGTTTTTAATGCATTTTAATGGTTGCTTTAATGGTTGTTCATGATGTTTGGTGGTGTTAATGTGAACATATGAATGGAAACTTAACCATGAAACCAGGATTGAAAAAACAAAAACAGGAAAAACAACTTCCCCCAGGTGATTTAACCCCTACTGAAACATGAGATAGTTGCACTATTATCTACTCAAACTCTCTCAAACTAAGGGATTCAAGTAGATAGATAGATTGGAGAAGCGAGATACATGGAACCACAAAATGGGGTCCGGCGGACCGGGTTTCTTGATGTTTCTATATAGGATATATGGCCCTATGGCCATGAACATATGCAGCATATGCCTGTTAAAATTCGGTGAAACCGGGAGATCCCGAGTTGTGAAGTGGTTGTTCTCTTGTGGCTGAGCCATGTTGAGCTAACGAAAAAAAAATGTGATCCAATATCAGCACCCCCAAGTATCTGAGTAATAGAACACACACAAATCTGAATATGTCCCCCCCAAAATATAAAAACAAACATGTGAAGGTTCTCATCTCAAAATATACTTATCCTACATATCAGAATGTGTTGGCTAAAGACAAGTCTAAAGATGTCCCGAGTCAACAAAAACGGTCTGTACTGTGGCTTGAATGGAGAGCACACTATTCTCTGAATTCCCATCATGGATGATTATGATCATAATGTTGTACAACCTCCGGTTGAATCATCAACCACGGTGCGCGGCGCTGATGTTTTGCTTGGCCAAAAGTTCAACTGCTTCTTCCAGAAAGGCCTTGCGCCGTCCCATCAAGAGGACACCTGGAGCACCAGGAGCGACCAAGTACCCCGCAAGAAATACTGTAAAATACATGCAGCCCAAATTCCAATGGTTTATCATCAGTTTCTCAATTGTTGAAAGCTATTTGGTGCTTAATTATTCCTCCTTCAACTCATAAATTACCTGCCAAATTGGACAAACAACAACTTTGTGAGTAGTTGAGGCTGTGAGCATATGCAGAAGTTCTTCCAACCTACAGTAATGCTTCGCCCATGTCCCTCGTACTTGGGTGCATTTCATCGCATTTCAAGCTTCCCTATGGATTGAGCATTTCTGGTTAGTGGCTGCCCGGCTGCCCCCGAAAAAATGATGGGTTTATTGGGACCATCATCCAAAGGATCCAACATTCAAAACCACCAAGAAACATTGCTCGTCAGAACATTCTCTGGTATGGAAACATGATACGAGAAAATGGCGACAAAAAATATCCTGGGACTTACTTTGTTGGTGGAGGAAGAAAATGATGCTGATGTTACAAAATGAAACATTGATGACACAGTATGTTGTCTTTTACGATGGTATCAAACTAGTGTACATATATTCTTCTCCATCTGAAAAAAAAACAAGATATTTGACATTCATACATATTCTATACAACGTTCTAGCACCTCCATAAATCTAAGATGGCTGCAAACTAGGGTCGCTTTTCTATGGCGCAGCTCTTGGGTTCAGATTTGGGGTCTAGCCCTATCCAAAAGCCACTGGTTCCAGGTTCTGAAAATATGCTACTCCAAATCCCATGGTTTATCAATGTTTATCATCTTCCAAACTGCGAAACAGACCTACTGGAGTATCCCCCATTGGACAAAAATTGACAAACTCGATTGGTACAATCACAATTATCCTTGCTGAAAAATCCACACTATGATGAAATGTACAATCACTACTTTCCCATATATTGTTGGTTTACCGGACATCCCAGTATATTCAAATATGATATTAATATGTATCTCATGTTTCCATTATGCAACTTCATTGACCCTCTGTCATCCCTTGAATACTGCTTGGTTGAGAACGGGATTCTAATTTATGACTTACAAATAATAACTTCAATTATATAACAAGCCAGTAGTATAGTCTCTCATAATCAACAACCCGTCGTTTATCAACTCAGCGTTATTTTTGATGATCAAAGCCCAAACAATACAAATAGTTAAAGTGATCCCATTAAACAAACAGCATACCATTGAATTTTAATGTGTCAATAATTCCCATAATCGATTTCAACCTATTGAAGGTAAATTAAAACTAGCATGAAATCTCAAGTCAATCAGATTCAATCTGATTCAATCCCAACATATTCCAACTAATTACGTACCATCCCAATGATGGCGCCCCAGTCCTTTACAGCCGTGGAGGGCCAGCTGTTTTGCCACTTCAAAACCGATTCCGCTGCCACCACCGGTGATCAGCGCCACACGCCCTGCGCCGCGGCAAAACATCTGGGCATATCTGGCATTGGCCACCCAAAATGTCTGGAAAATTCCGAGAAACAGCGGAGTAACATCAAAAATCTAGTGAACTGGAAGTTTCAAGGAGCTTTTGAAAGATTTGGACGCTGAACATGGATTCACATGGCTCGGTTATCGTTGCAGACGGGTTTGCTGGGGTGTCCCAAGCCCCCAAGGAATGGGATGTCACCCCGGGGACGAATCTGATCACCAGTTAATGTCTAACATGCTGAAGCCCTAGTCACCAGTTACTGCCATTCGGTTTGAGTTGGTTATCTACCCATCTTGCTCCCTTCGTAAAAACCGGGCCTTCCAGAACATCTGGCCGGAAGTAGCTCTGACTTTCCATGGCTGGTCGATTGTTTGGAGATTTAAACAAGGGAACAATGAAATGATATATAATATAGAACCAATGAAAATTGAGGTACATGAAGAGTCTTGATGAGTTTAGGAGTTTAGGGGGATATGTATAAATATATATATAGTATATAACCATTTATTGAAGGACATCAACAACTACGACCAGCAAAGGTTTTGGGCCGATATGGGCCGATGGCTACGCTGCAGTCGATCAGGAGCTTTACGAACGGATGTGCACCTCAGTGAGATTCAGAAAGTATTTACGAAAAGATACCCCAAGGGATCCCAAGGGGGTCTACTTTTTTTCGGAAGTTGGTTTCCTTGTTTTCGTGCCGGAAAGCGAAAATACAAGAAAAGTGCGAAAGAAGAGAAGCTGCACAAAGCAAGAAAGGGTAGGAATTCGGGATTTTTGTATCGAATAAGGGGGATGCAAAAATAATGCAATACACTATAGAATGATAAACTAAAATATGTTTGTAATTGACTAGAATACACTATAATACACTATAGTACACTTTAATACACTATGATACACTATGATACACTATAATACACCTAGAATACACCTAGAATGCACTAGAAAGCACTATAATACGCTATAATGGCACTATAATTCACCATAATACTATATAGTAGAATATACTATACATGATGTAATACAATGTAATACCAAAGAATGCAATATAAACATAATAGAGTATAATACAATAAAACACAATAAGATACAATACAATAACTATAATACAGGAAAAAACATTATGTTACACTATACCATACTACACGCTAGTACAATATGATAGAATACACTATGATATATAATATAAGATAATATAATAAAATGTAACATGATGTAGTCTAATCTAGCATGATACAATAGCATATAATATAATGCAATATAATACCATACAATATAATACACCAATATAATACACTACAATATGAATATATATATAATATATATATATATATTGTAATATAATACAGTATAACATAATATAACATAGCATAATATAATATACTAAATACGAATATGACTATATTTTAAAAATGTATATATATATATATAAATATATGAAATATGAACTGATTTACATTAAACATACGTATAAAATTGTCTAAATTTCATATACAGTATATGATAAGGATGGTAATATATGTCAATACATGTATATATATATATATATACATATCATACACATACTTCATACTTATAGTATACATCATTTGGTATATCACCTAAAACAGCTGGGTTATACTGGGTTGTACCCTGGTAAGAACCACATACAAACTCGGATGCACATGGATTTTCCCACTGGGTATGTGTCAAAACCACGGTACCCTAATGAATCCATTCCCTGATCGGAGTTGCCATGTCCCAACATTCCACAGCCATTTGCTGGTTGAATATCAGTCAAACATATTCAATATCCATTGGTGTTGCTCAAATCCCGCATTTCGGCTGGTTGAATCCCAGCCGTGGTAGCCAGACAGTTCCAAAAAAACCTGGCACCAGCTGCTGAGTATCCAACCTAAGCCCAAGAACACCTGGTTTGCCACTGGCCACTGGGCCCTGATCCACGGCAAACGCATCAAGATTTTCTGCGGCTTGGTGATGGGGGGATATCAGCTAGTATTGGTCAAACCGCTTTTCTAAACAGTCATGGAAGTGGAAATTCCCCGTCAATAGAAGAATCAAACAAAACCAGCATGACATGGTTTTGGCTAAAGATTATTGAGCCCCATATTCGGCAGAGTAAATACAGTAACCAACAAGGTTGCTCCCATCACCCCAAATACAAAGCGCAAAAATGGCTAGATAGGCGAGGTAAAATGTCCGATTTGTTCACCCCTTGTGGCTATAGTTTACCTATTGGCTTGGAGCAACCCTGACTTAAATGGAGGTTGAATTTCCATGATCATTTATGTATAGGCCATTGGTTTTCCCATATATAACAACCAATCACTTGGATGATTTGGGGGTCCCACCATTTTCGGAAACGCGGCTTGCCGCGGCCTTTGGCATCGGCATGTGCGCACCTGGGAAAGCGACCACCATGGGAATGCAATCGTGCGCCAGAATCTATAATGACATATAATCTTATATATTTGTATAATACTATAATATACTATAATATATATATATATAATTATATATATATATGTATACGTACCGTATTGGTCAATGTTGCTATTACACAGACATCAACTGGTTGGTGGTTTCAACCCCTCTGAAAAATATTAGTCAGTTGGGGTCACTATTCCCAATGTATGGAAAAATAAAAAATGTTCCAAACCACCAACCAGATAAATGTTGCTGTGGTTTGCTATGCATTAAAAAAAAAACTGGATATGTTCTGGAAAAAAAAAAACACTGACTTAAAATCAGCCCATGTTGGCATAGTTACCCCACTCCAATGCCCATCATCCCAGTGACGTCTTCCAGGCTTTGGCGGCAATCTGGTTGACCAAAGGGGGTTGCAGGAACATGTTATGGCCATGGCAAACAAGATGCTTTTTTTGGTTCAATTCAAATAGAGGTTTCCTAAAATGGGGGGATCAACAAGTCACCATGTGTTCCAATACTAAGTAATGGTCTCATGACTGGGATGATTTGGGGGTACCCCCATATTAGGAAACCTCCAAATTCATGCATGTTTGCAGACTTGGTCAAATATTGTGAGAGAGTCTGTTCTTTCTGAGCATCAATCATGCAAGTTAGGGAACCATTGGCCAAGAACAAGGAAACATAAAGATACAGAACTGGTTGGTGGTGTCAACCACCGACCAAAAATATCACTTGGGATCCTCATCCCACATGGTGATTGCTGGCGGTTCGCCCCAATATGACTGGACGAATCAGGACGAATCCTACTTCCCCTATTGAATGAACTGGGCTTACGATGAAGTACTGGAGTGAACCACCCATTCTCCACAATTTTCATGGTTAAATCCCAAAATTCATGAACATTCTCCCAGTTGTCCCGATGTTTCATGGTGAAGTTCCAAAGTTCCCCCAGTTATCGTACCAGGATGTACCAGGACCCGGGTCGTTCGTTCGCACTTAGCCTCGCGCGCACACTGGAACACCAAGGCCTGCGGAACTCGCCTGACATTCAGAAGCTGCCGATGATTTGTTGATGCCATGAATGGGAAGCCTCACCCAAAAGATGAGTTGTTTACGGATGTTTTCACAAGGTTGCAGTCAAGATATGCCAAAATATGTTGAGATATGACATGTCAAGATATGTCAGAATATGTCAAGATGATTCAAGATGCTTATTCTCGAAAACTCGCATATTCTTCTCCAGGTAGAGGAACCTTGAATCCCAACTTACGCTGAAGTTTCAAACAGTGATGCTAGGAGCATGCTAGGAGCATCTTGTGTCATGCTAGCACCTGTGTTTAGTTTGGCAGCCGCACACCTGATGGGTTTTCGCTATGAAGACATCAATTTGGAGATAAGCTAGAAACCCAAAATCATATGGTTGCACAAACATAAATGAAATGATGACAAACACATGTTGCGTCGATGGCTGCTAGCCGTCGAGTCTAGAACCTTCTCTGGACAGATCTAGAGTGTGGTGGAGCGTGGAGTGTTGTGGAGTGTGGAGTGTGGAGTGTAGCGCGTGGAGTGAGGAGTGAGGAGTGTGGAGTGTGGAGTGAGGAGTGTGGTGTGTGTAGAGTGTAGAGTGTAGAGTGTGGTGGAGTGTGGAGTGTTGTGGAGTGTGGAGTGTGGAGTGTGGAGTGTAGTGCTTGGAGTGAGGAGTGTGGAGTGTAAAGTGTGGAGTGTGGAGTGTGCAGTGGGTCAAGTGTGGCGTGTGCAGTGTGCAGTGTAGTGTGTGGAGTGTAAAACCGGGGTGATTTCCAGAGCCAACCGCTACAATTGAAAAATCTTGAAAACACGTGGAGGATGAAAACAGCAGGATATCCAATATTCCTCCATCTGATGGCTCAGCATTGACCCGTGTGAAAATCCGGCTGTTTGAAAAAGGAACCACCCGTAGCAGTCGATTTACCTGGAATCGGTGCAAATCATTGCCGCCATTCACGATGTACGAGCCTGTACCATCACCAAAGAAAACATGATCCGGGCCAACTTCTGATATGAAAATTATTCCCAAAGTTCATGTTGTTTTCCCCCAGTTCCATGTTCCATGGTCATCCTGTTATCCCATGGTTACATATTAATTTTCCCCATGAAGTACTTGGTTGTTCATGGCCACACAGTGGGGTTTTCTAGACCATTTTCAGACACCCCCAGTCCTGTTCCGATCCATTAACAGGGATTTATTAATCGCCATTGCAAGTTCAGTGGGATTGCCATGGCATGCGATGGATGAGCATAAATAAACATCCATAAACCACACACCATGTAACTTGACCAAAATGTCGCGACATCGCCTGTGGGCGCACGCAGCTGGCTCGCCAGAAAGCTCAACCTGCCAGGCCCTCTTTGGGAACGACAAATGGGAAAACCTCTTGGGAAAGACATGCTGGAAAGATCTGGAAAGATGCAAACATACACAAATAATCACAAATATACACTTGGGAATCTCATGGTTAAGGAAGTCGTTCCCTCTTCTGAAATGGTCCTGGTTTGGCCCAATGATCTACCATATCCACCATGTTTGGACGAAGATTTAACCAATGAACATGTGCGGATCCAGGCATCAAACTCGGATCTTGGAGTTTGGAGTCAAGGCGAAAAAATCGGGTGACTTAAAACAATGGGATTTAAGGACCAGTAATATGGAGATTTGAGCAAGTTAAAAGAGGATTCCTAAGACCAAGAAGGGGCGATGTACCCTGGCATGTCCTTTCAAACCTCGGGTACCCAATGGTACCCAGCATAAAATGGTACATTTGCAGCCTGATATCAGCATATCACATCACTATTCCTCGATCTACAGCTGATATCAGGACAAGTCATTGGTCTACCCGACCCAGTTCAATGGGAAAATGATAAATTCAAGAGGTACCATCTGGTTATTTAACATAGCCATGGAAAATCACCATTTTTAATAGGTAAACCATCTGTAAATGGCCATCTATACCATGGCTATGTTAAATTACCAGAGGGTACATCATCTGTTGTTCATGGTGAATTCTCCACAGCCATCAGGAGCTCTCAACTTTCAGGTCCAGCCCACAGCCTTCCCATGCTGCGTCTTCCGTGGTCCCAATTGTTGCGATGTGGCGCAGTTATGGGGTTGGCTATGGTCTATGGTGGGCTACGGTGGGCTACGGTGGGCTATGGTGGGCTGGGTATATGGCGGTCTTGGAACTTAAATCCTACCATCCCAACCAAAACACCAAGCGGTGGGTGGTGGCAAGTCCGCTGATCCAATGATAACATGTCCAGCAACTTGCTCTTTTTTCATGTTGCTATATGTTGCTGTCCCCCAAAGTTGCGTCTTTTTTCTTGGCAAGTGGTTCTTGTTGCTTGGGATAGCCCGGTCTTTTAGTCTCTACCCTGTGAAGCCAAAGCTGGCCCAACATGTGCGTGGAATCTTTCTGACCATGAAACAACTCTGCCTGATGAAAGATTTCATCACATCGCTGGTTCTTGATCGGATCACTTCAATCCATCATTCTCCATATTCATGGTTCCCAATATAACATAGATACGTTCCAAGGGAATGTGAACCCATTTGTTCCGATGTTGGAATACCATTCTGGAATGCCATGCCGAATGCTGAACGCTGTCCCGCATCCAAACGCCAGGGAATGACTGGAAGTTTCTCAGATTCGCTGGTGGAAGGCCCGGGACGCGTGGCCTCCGGATATGGATGGAGGGAAACAAATGGAAACAATAGGAAAACTATAGAAAATATATAGGAAAACTATAGAAAATAGATAGATCTCAAACCACTGGGCCCTGAACCAGATGATTGTAAACAAAGAAGAACCATCGGACAACGTCGAGGAACATCAACACAAGACCCACATTCAGCAATACATGGCACATCTGGAAGTCATATCCCAGGGATGCAAGGTACATGGAGGCTCACCAGTTCACCATGATTCGCAACTACCTGCACTGCACAGGCTGTTCAACAGGAGTTGGGGGTCAATTCCGTTCCACAAGGATAGGTCCACTTTCTTGAAGGTCAGGGCCCGGATAGGCACGGCCTAATTAGCCACGTGGCTTGGCCCGGGTGGACATTGTCTGAATGGAAATATGGCCGAAATCTGGTTGTGTAATCTTTTCAGGAGGTGAAGCAACACGTCAGATCAGAAGTTTACCTGGGTTAAGCATCCAAACCAACGTCTTCAGGTCTTGGCACATATGACCACGTTATGTAATTTGTAATTCTCTATTATCATAAACCATCCAACAAAATAAACTGTTGAATCCCATTGACCTTTCCAAAGGTATCAATCTCTTGAGACGGTCGACCGCATGACCCCCCAACCTCTTTGAGTATCGATTCCAGTCATCATGTGGCTATGGCCGTGCCTCAACAGTATTTACATGCAAATTTACATTGCTTTTATAATATGTTTGAAAGGTATCACATATGTTTACATATATAATACATATTAATATGTATGTGTATATATATATATATACGTGTGTATATCTATATACACAATGTATTTATACATATACTTCCCCATACATTTACCTGTATTTATCCTTATCTGCCGTTACCCATCTTTCGCCCCGAAGATCTCTCAAGATCTCGCAGCCAATCAGATCCAGACCTCGCTGCGGAAGACTCGTTTTTTTGGTTCTTCGCCGGGGCCTTGGTGGGATTTGATGTGTCAAAACCTATAAATCCCTAAAGTATTTTGTCCAAAAACAATCATATCCCTATTAAATTATAGTAATATGGTCAGTAATATATTAAGTCGGGTTCTTTTCATAGTTGTTGGCCATATTTTTTGAGAATGATCCATTTTACCACCTATTTATACCTTAAGTTTATACCTATATATTTGATGTTATGTTCACCAAAGGTACAGGCTGGCCCATCATCCATATAGATGATCATGTATACAATGATTTGGGGTTTGTAATTGATTTATATAACATGATGTATTTTTTTTGCATAGGGACATGATTCGTTTAGTGGATCTTGGATTTTGATCCGTCGTTGCAGAAATCTCGCAATCTGTCGATCGAGGCACTTTCGTCCTGGTCCAAACTTGCCCAACGGGGATAGAGTGAACCCAGTGAACCCTAAATCCATTGGCCACATATTGGGGGTATGCCCCATTTTCAGACAGTTGACTTCCAGCTACCTGGGATACACACCCAAGCTTTCCCCAATATTGGTTGTCTTCATTTACTATATAATTTGGTGAGATTTGATGGTCATAACTGGGGCAGATGAAATTATAAGTCCCAGCTATTCCGATTTTCACCGGAGGATTCCATGGGTTTTGTCGCCCCTTTGTGCTGATTAGATAAGATTCCAAAAAATTCTGGTCATCCCCAATGTTTGGGATACGGGGCCAAACAAAATCACCAATCAATGCCAATCAACCTCCCATCATTTACCCTCTGGTTATTTACCATAGCCATGGAAAATGGCCCATTTATAGATCGTTTACCTATTAAAAATGGTGATTTTCCATGGCTATGTTAAATAACCAGATGGTATCAACCAACATCAACCATCTCACCACATGCCAAGCCGCGCCACAGCTTCCTCGCCAGAAAAGCCGCCACGGCTGTGGCAGCCCTTCCGCGCACCTCAGGTGCAACGAAAGCTGGGGATGATGGATGATTAGTAACGACGGGTGAGTAATGATGGTTGATGATTAGTGATGGTTGATGATTAGTGATTCTTATAGATGATTATGTTATAGTATGTTCATTTAGTGATTAACTTACTGTCAGGCAATGATTGGTACCACTAAAGTGAGGATTGTTTTTTTAGCGATGAATATTAAGTAGAGATTTCATGAACATCGGATCAAAATCTATAGAAAAAATATCATTGTTTCTGGTATGTCTAATGATATACTATATATACACTATATATATAGTGTATATATATAGTATATATATAGTGTATATATATAGTATATATATAGTATATACTTGCTATATATATATAGATACCCTGCTACCAAAAACAAACATCTTCAGCAAAATTTTAACTTCGTGACGACTTCGTGTTGGTAATGGATACCACTGGACCGCACCAATGTGTGTAACAAATCATTGGATCAGGGGAACAAACCTTCCCAGATTGGCGAAACGAAACTCGGTCAAAACTTGATGGCGAATTTCCGTATGGCTTTTCCACTGGGTTATAATCATATCGTATCCTTTGCATTTGTGTTCCCACATATATTCTTTACGAGTAAAGCATAAGATATATATAGATATAATATATATATATTACATGATAAATCATTATTAATCATGATAAATCATTATAATACTAATATAATATGACCGGCATCTGTCGCTGGCCACATGCATTCGACCCCTGTTTGAATTCACCGCGGTGATTCCACACCGACTGAGGTTCCAACTGCTGTTGAGCCTTCAATCATCAGCAAGTTCTCACCTGAGGCCATCGTAATGATATGTTCACATTTGATACACGGAAAAAAGGAGAAACCAAGAGGTGACAAAAAGAAGAAAAACACAAAAAATAAAAAGAAGAAGAAAACAACAAACTACAGCCAGAACACGACTTTGAACAAGAGAAATGTATAGAAATGTTAGGTGAACTGAAAGAAACACACAACAAATGCTGAAAAACAGAAATCGGACAACTCAACCCTGGCGCACCTGGCAGTAAAAATTTGGGATCCATGACTGCTGAAGCGCCATATTTCAGCGCCTGCAAGTGACATGGGGAGGTCGGGACAGCCGCTCCGGACTACCTCTCCGTGGAAACATCTGAGTGAAATTGTTGACTTCAACCACTCAGATAGTCTACAAAAAAAAGAATACCCTCTGGTTATTTAACATAACCATGGAAAATCCCCATTTTTAAGAACGGTAAACCATCTATTTCTATGGGCCATCTATACCATGGCTATGTTAGTCATAACCAGATGCTAGTTGAATCCATGAATTTGATGTCGTATCTCTCATTGCTTGATGACATTCCCTTTCTGATGTTTGTTCATATACACAAGGTTTCTGATTCCTGAGTGGAACTTGTTTATAAAATCAACCAACCACCAGCTGCCGCTGTCGTCCTTAGACCTTGAGGCATCTCTATGTCAAAACTGGTTGTTTGAACAAACAATCCAAATCAAATAGTTGGTTTACTAGGCTCAAATTGTTTCATGATGTTTCATGCTGCAAGCGACATCAGCAAACAATAGTAAATAATCAAATGTGTCATGATGTTTCATGTTGCAAGCGACATCAGCAAACAATAATAAATAATCAAATGTGTCATGATGTTTCATGTTGCAAGCGACATCAGCAAACAATAGTAAATAGTCAAATGTTTCATGATGTTCCATGTTGCTAGCAACATCAGCAAACAATGGTAAATAATCAAATGTATCATGTTTCATGTTGCAAGCAAAATCAGCAAACACTAGTATTTAATCAAACGGTTCATGATGTTTCATGTTGCGAGCAACATCAGCAAACAATAGTAAACAAAATCAAATGTTTCATGGTGTTTCACGTTGCAAGAAACATCAGCATTCAATAGTAAATAGTCAAATGTGTCATGATGTTGCATGTTGCAAGCAACATCAGCAAACAAGAGCAAAGAATCAAATGAGACCCGCCAAAAGCAGCTTAGTAGCACACCCAAAAGGGTGTTTCTTTTCAACTTTGCCATCATCACCGATCATGACCATAGAAGAGTGAATGTCCATGAAATCTGTGCTTGTCTGAAAACAGGGTACCGAAAAAATATGAGAAATGGTGCTACTGCTAATCGTCTTCCAATCATTTTCCACGCACAGCCAGACTCAATGAATGTTTTTGGATGTCCCATAGGATATCCCCATTGGACAAGCCCTACACCCAAATCAAGGCAAACAATTCAGCAAATGCCGCCTCCGCAGCACAGTCCTCTGCAAACTCCTCCTGGGGCATCAAGCCACATCGACAGCCACATGGCCAGCATCGACCACCATCCCCTGATGACTCCATCGTTTCGAGCCCTTTGAGTGTTAAAACAGAAACGCCAAGTCCCTTCCAATGAATGCTTGTCATATTTGAAAATATTTGGAAGGGAAACATACTCTGACCATGTCTTCTATGTGTATATATATAATTATGTATATAATATATATATATATACGTAATTACATAAAGATATGTTGTTTCCTTAGTCCTTTGTAATCTCTTTCTGCAATCATATCTAATGATCATGGAATCTCAAACATCGCAACGCGGAGCTCCGGAACCAACATCTGGGCCGCTTTGGGCGCCAAGGCGTCCGGCATCCGGGCCAACTCTGCGATGAGAAGCTCAAGGCCATCCTGCTCCGATTCGCTGCCCCAGTGATGTCTCTAAATGCAACCCTCCAAGCTCTAGGGCCTCTAGGGGCCAGGCAGTTTAGCACAAATGACCCATTCAAGTTCACACAAGTCTTTATTATACAATATGATATATATATATATATACATAAATATATCTATATATACATTATCATATATCATAAATATATCATATGATATCGTATTATATCACATTATATCATATTATAACACATTATATCATATTATATCACATTATATCATATTATATCACATTATATCATATTTTATTACTATATCATATTATATCATATCATATCATATCACATTATATCATATCATATCATATTCTATATATCATATCATATTCTATATATCATATTAACATATATATATATGTAATATTATATACAGTAAAATTCCTTTAATGAAGGTCTATGGGTTACTCTAACATTACATCGTCCCCGGGGTCTCCTGCAACTCGACGGGAGGTCCTGCAAGCTCCAAGGCACGTTCGCCATTGGGCAACTCGTGTACTTGAACTCGAACCTCGCAACAGGGGAAAGTCCAGCCATTTCCAGGTGACTATTGGTGACTATTCATACCATTGATGTTGATGTTGATGTTGGTGTTGATGCTATTCATGCCATTGATGTTGATGTTGGTGTTGGTGTTGATGCTATTCATACCATTGATGTTGATGTTGATGTTGGTGTTGATGCTATTCATGCCATTGATGTTGATGTTGATGTTGGTGTTGATGCTATTCATGCCATTGATGTTGATGTTGATGTTGGTGTTGATGCTATTCATACCATTGATGTTGATGTTGATGTTGGTGTTGATGCTATTCATACCATTGATGTTGATGTTGATGTTGGTGTTGATGCTATTCATGCCATTGATGTTGATGTTGGTGTTGATGCTATTCATACCATTGATGTTGATGTTGATGTTGGTGTTGATGCTATTCATACCATTGATGTTGATGTTGATGTTGGTGTTGATGCTATTCATGCCATTGATGTTGATGTTGATGTTGGTGTTGATGCTATTCATGCCATTGATGTTGATGTTGATGTTGGTGTTGATGCTATTCATACCATTGATGTTGATGTTGATGTTGGTGTTGATGCTATTCATGCCATTGATGTTGATGTTGATGTTGGTGTTGATGCTATTCATGCCATTGATGTTGATGTTGATGTTGGTGTTGATGCTATTCATGCCATTGATGTTGATGTTGATGTTGGTGTTGATGCTATTCATGCCATTGATGTTGATGTTGATGTTGGTGTTGATGCTATTCATGCCATTGATGTTGATGTTGATGTTGGTGTTGATGCTATTCATGCCATTGATGTTGATGTTGATGTTGGTGTTGATGCTATTCATGCCATTGATGTTGATGTTGATGTTGGTGTTGATGCTATTCATGCCATTGATGTTGATGTTGATGTTGGTGTTGATGCTATTCATGCCATTGATGTTGATGTTGATGTTGGTGTTGATGCTATTCATGCCATTGATGTTGATGTTGATGTTGGTGTTGATGCTATTCATGCCATTGATGTTGATGTTGATGTTGGTGTTGATGCTATTCATACCATTGATGTTGATGTTGATGTTGGTGTTGATGCTATTCATACCATTGATGTTGATGTTGATGTTGGTGTTGATGCTATTCATACCATTGATGTTGATGTTGATTTTGGTGTTGATGCTATTCATGCCATTGGTTGATGTTGATGTTGGTGTTGATGCTATTCATACCATTGATGTTGATGTTGATGTTGGTGTTGATGCTATTCATACCATTGATGTTGATGTTGATGTTGGTGTTGATGCTATTCATACCATTGGTTGATGTTGATGATGTTGATGTTGATGTTGGTGTTGATGCTATTCATACCATTGATGTTGATGTTGATGATGTTGATGTTGATGTTGGTGTTGATGTTGATGTTCTTAATTTCGAAAGTGCGGCCAAAAAAATAAATCCATGTTGATGGGATTCACCGCTGTGACACAGTTGATGAGTTGTAGATATTGTGTGAGTCTCAAATACCAAACATCTCCGAGACTTCGCTTCACCATGGGATCGGAGGTGATAGCTGGGACATTGCATGGATTGTGGATGGGATTCTTAAACTCAATCCCTGTTGAAGCAGTGAATCCTATACCCTCTGGTAAACTAACATAGCTATTGAAAATGGCCATTTGTAGTGGATCTACCCATGAAAAATGGTGATTTTCCATATTTATGTTAGTTTACCAGAGGGTAATTCTTTCCGCCTATTTGAAGGGGGAAGAGTACAGTATCTATATATCTGCAGGGATTCACATGGCCCCAGGCTCTGTATCTTTGTGTTTCCGGCATGATCTTGTGCGAGTCAAGTATTCAATTGACATCTTAAAAGCCTATAGGCATGCATTTTCATGGGATTTTCCATTATAAACCAACCATTTTTATCCATGTTTGGGATACCCACCATTTATTGAAACCCCCATAGTATCACAGACAAATGGATGATCAAGTGGCGCCACTATCCTCTTGCAGCAGTTTGATCTTCTTGCCGCCTGGCAGCGTTGCTTTAAGGGTTCATGGCCCACAGGGTGACCAAATTTTGTTGCAAATGTTTTTAATACCACGAAGTCGAAGTGACTAAGTGATGTCCCTTTTGGCTCTGAATTGGAGACCCCCAAGATCCACCAAGTCCGCAATTCATGCTCAGTCTTTTCGACATGCTTCGGGCCCGTCACAAATTCTTGCATTTTGATTGCATTTGTTTTATGCACCTTCAAGGAGTTTCGGGAGCTTCAAAGGTCTCAGAAGCGTGAGATTCCATTCTGTGCTGCCTTCGCATTACTGTCTCAGCGTTCCCCTGTATGCTTAGACCAATAAACTAGCACTTCCTGCGCCAAGCTTGTTCGCTGAATGAGGATCTGAAACATCCGCAACTAGGCAATGAGATCTCCCCTTTAGATATCTTCGCATAGCGGTGTCTACCTTTGGTTAATCCATGTGGTCCATGTTCATCATGGAGGCCTCGACCAATCAGCAAGCCGGCTGCGTGTGGGCTCATCACCAAATTCGCCGTCCACTCACTGCCCACGGGTCGTAGGGCCTGGGTCTGAGTCGGTGAGGAGCTACCACTTGGACCATGATTGTCATCACATGAATTGTTTGAAATGCTGAAACCTGAAGGCCATGAAATTGATGCTTATCATATGCTTACCTTTTTATCTTGACAGAAACTGAGTATGCACAGCTCAGTTCTCCCCGATATGATTCCCTGATTCCTAGCTGGACGGATGCAATTGGATCTTCATCCCCCTATTCCATCCGTCCCATAGGATACCATAGGTATTTACCCCTCTCCATACAGTTGCTGGTTTCAACGGAACTAAAGAATCTTAATGTTGTATCCTGATTAGTGGCTAGATTCGCTATTGTGCCAAATAAAAACAAAATTATTCTGAACCCATGCATTGTTTGGAATGTTCACTATTGTGGCAAGAAATCTTGGGAGACCATTCTTTTTTTGGGAAAACTACTAAAACTACTACAAGTTCATCGGCAAAAAAAAAAAGTGTTATTTAGATTTCAATTGTAGCCAATTGAAATCCTTACTTAAGTGCGTTTTTTTTCTGGGACACAACTTTTTGGCACCCAACTTTGAAGAGGGTATAGCCGGTATAGCTATTTGTTTGGGGGGGCCTTACACTAATCAGGACGAAACATTACCATCAGCAGTCTGCTAATGGAAAATAACACGGACATACAAGTACTTGAACCCACCAACCAGCCATTGGGCCTTGTCTGAACATCACGTATCCATACATATCCGAAAATTCAAATGGATGACCTTCGTGTTTCCATATTATGTCTTATTGAACTTGCCATTTTTGGAGCCAATCCGATCCCCCTTTTTGTACAGCCCACTATTCACGCCCCCAAAGGACCAAAGCCACCTTGGGCGCCATAGGCCTTTCTCTCTGAAGCCCGCTGGGCCAGTCAAAGGTGGGCCCAATGGGACAGCTCATGGGGCCATGATCTGATTAGTCACCCGGAAGTATGGATGATCCGAGATGATCTGAAAAAAGAAGTGGGGTGACTGTGCGGGTCACTCGTAGTCCGGTTCTCTGATTGGGATGATTGGGAGTAGCTGGGTCCTACGAGTACGTTTCGGATTCGTGACGTTTGAAATACAATGCATGAAAACATCGTTCACAGCAACTTGAAATTGCCCACAACAATTGCAAAATGCAGTTCTTTGCTTGGATGCTTCCATTTTCTGAGATGATTGTGGAATGGATGGATCATGCCTCATATTGCCTCTCATCATCTGCTCCACCGCGACAGACCGGCTTGCGCCGGGCCGGGGCAATAAAGTGTCTGCTGCCTGTGAGATGAACGGAAAAACATATGCCTTCTGATTCTGCCTTCGTACGAAGACTTCCAGATTCTGGCCATTTATGATTTACTTAGACAATAATGGTTTTTTCTAGCCATTCAAGCCCATTATCCGACAAACCCATATTCAAAAACGACATCTGGTTGGGAAAGGATGTTACTGACGAAACTTGGTTTGACCAAAGGAATTCATGGCTAACAATTCTATAGCCCTCAACAACATCAGCTTTTCAAACAGGTGACCCGCAGTCGGGTCATTTACAGGCGAAACCGTGAAATTTGAGGCTCGACGAACGTTGAAATCAACCAATTGATGCTTAAACCAACCAGGCAGTGACAACCAATACCATCCAATGCCAATGCCTTTGTGTATTTTTTGGTCGCAGTGAACCACAGGCTGCTGCGCGTCCTTTTTACCAGCGGGTCCGTGTTTCCGTCCAGTGTCACAGTGTTTTGGTACGAGCCCAGCCAGCAAGTCTGGACGAGAATCATTGCGAAGGGAGTTGGAAGCGGACAGCCCGGTCGAGCAGGGAAAGATCTGGAAAGTAAAGCTGGGAATCCCTGAACTCAATGGGCATTTCAATGGAACATCATCGAACTACATTGTATATTGTAATATTATTGTAACATATATATATATATTGTAACTACATAGTTGATTTTCCGTGCCATGTTTGATTTCCAGAGGGTATCGGTAATGTATCGCTAAAGATCTATAAGCATCACCTCTCTGCAGCTTACAGCCACCCTTTCGTCACAATGAAACTTTTCGTATAAGAACCTGCGACTGTTCCTCATTCCGTCTCCAACTTCGAGAAAGGTGTGAAACAAAATGGGTGCTCGAAAATTCAGGACCGCCAGAAGCATGCCGCCTTGTATTATTTCTCCCCTCAGATGGGTCAAGTTTCAACTTCTTTCACGAAGAAACATCGAGGTTCCTCATGGCTGCTATTCACCACCACCAGGCCAATAGATGGTACTTTCAACCCCGGCAGCATGAAACATGTTTCAACCATCAACGAGGGATCCTGAGTTTGGAGCTCGAACGAAACGAGCGTGAAGGAAGGGATGGTATACCATAAAATCATGGGGATGTCAGAGGAAAACATAGATGTGTTGATTAATCAAAAAGTATATGAAGTATGTTGAAATCCACAAATTCGAGCTATATACTCAGCTATACTCACCACATATTTTCACACATGTAGACTGTAGACGACTCTTTTCCAGTGCTTGAGATGGGAACAGTCGTTCTTTTCGTGGCTGATACTGCACATGACCAGCCCGTGGAGCATCTCCTAAGGCTCAAAGAGTCAAACAGCTCACATGATACCCACATTGATCGTTGTTCCACACATAAGCTGTCCTGGACGACCCGCCATCCCTTCTTCACGCAGCTCACTTTCACCCCAACGGTCTGCTCCGCGGCGGAGCAGACCATTGAGGTCCGTGGATAACAATTCAGCTGGAGACTCCAGTGACTGAGTTGCTTGTTGCTGATGTTGTTTGTAAAAGAATAATTAAAAAAATAACTGATAATGTTTTATATACCTCCATGATTCCATGTTAAGCTTGGGATACTGGGTATATATATATATATGTGTGTGTCATATGTATGTAATGCAGATCTCATACAGATCGAGCCAAGCCAAGCTGAGCCTGACACCTTTCCAACACAACTTTGCACCTTCCGGGTGTGTGTGGAATTCGACCGATTTCCACAACTTTGGAGACTTCCCTTTGAAAGATCCAAAGCCATCAGCAAGAGAAGCTGAAACCATTCGCAGAAGATTTATTGGGATTCACCAGTCGTCCAAAATTGTAAAGATGAATCCATTCTTACCGTAAAATGAATCATAACTCAATGCCAATTCGAGATTCTACGATTTGTTCAGGATCCACAGGACCATCCTCAAGTCCAAGTTTCATGCTGTTTCATATTGTTTCGGGATACATGCGACATGGTGTATGAAACTGGTGTCGTGTCCTGCGATAGGACTATCCACAGCTACTTACACAACGTGGTCCGCTGAGAAACCCCAGATTTTCTGCAGGATACAGTTCTTGGCATTAGAAGCCAAGCTATCCTCACCGGCTCCGCGCAACTGGCAGGATCATCTTAGGGGCTAGATTAAGACTCATCAAAAACATTCAAAAACTACCTTTAATCTTCAAAATCCGCGTTTTTTTGCTCATGTTGGGTGAGGATAGATAAAACTTTCAGAGGCAAAAACATGTTCCAATCCCATGAAGAGCGACTAACTAAAGATGTGTACCTTTTCTGAGATCCACTGGGTTTTTTTCCGCATCAAAATCTAGGTACCCTCTGAAAATCTAAGCTGACCATGAACCTTAACCCGTGGTGGATCCTGGGTTAGTTGGTGTCATTTGATCCTCCCAATTGGACGTGGAGATTTGGCAAGAGATCATCTGAAACAGATGGGGCCAGCCTGACCTGCGGCCTTCAGCTATGAACAACCTTGAATCATCCTTGAATCTTGCGGAACCTGGGCGGTTCCGATGTCAACAGATATCAACATGGAGAGATTCAGGCCTGAAATGGGCGAGGAAAATCCCAAACAAATCCAAGGGATTGAAGTGATTCCAAGCTTATTTGGAGGGTGTCGTCTATTTCCATTGATGACCATCCTAAAAATGTATGTAGGTGAGTCTGTGACCCATAGTTGCTTCATATGTAACAGGGTGAAACCTGTGAAGTATGCAGTTTTCAAGACAGGGGGATGGGGGCAAAACTACGAGTAGCCCTGCGTCCAGTGCTGACTGATCTCAGGGGGCCTCAAGAATACACACCCTCCTAAAAACAAACATCAGATTCCCTTCAAATGGTGTCTGGAAGAGTCTATTTTCCTGTGGACATACATACATACATATATATGTACATACATACATATGTACATACATATATATATATATATAATTATATATATATACACACATACATATGTATATGATTATATTATACATATATATATATATATACAAAACAGTGTATTGTCTACAATATCTATATGTAATTACTATAGGATACCAACCAGTCATCCCTGTCAACCTGGTCAACCTGGTCTCCCCTTTTCTGGACAGGTGGCTCTTCAATCCAGCAATCTCTCATTGCCTGGCGTTTCTAACCATCAAACATGGAGATTCAACGATGATTTAATCACCAAACATGGTAGTACCATAGTGAATAGTGATATAACGGGTAAAATTCTAATGTAATACCTCTGGTAATTTAGCAGTTTGGTATGGGGAAATTACCAATTTGTAGATCATTCATCTTTGAAACATGTTGGCTTCTCATAGCCACTGAGCGGCTAGACATCCCATCAAGGAGCTCAACAATGGAGACGCTGGCAAGACTACAGCTAGAAGCAAAGATTCCCACAAATTCCCAATCATCATCCATCATACATCATCCATCATGCACCACCATGCGTCATCCAATCATCATTTGACAAGAGTGTAGGCAAATTGATACAACTCCCAGGATCCACAGTAGTTGCGCACTATTTCACCAGTGAAAGGATATTCAACATCAACAAAATGAGGAATATGATTGTTGCTTGAAGCCATTTTCTATGAGTGAATCACGTATGAGAATTTGTGTTGCCTTAATTCACATGGAATCCTGTTCAACTAGGCTGTCTCAAAGTCTGGAACCCCATTCCTTTTAATCGCGTGGATGCAAAATGTTGAAAACCTCATTTTCACTCGAACATGTTGCTTTACCAATCTATGGCCATGAAACTAGGGATACCCAAACCAATTTTCTCCCTTGTTTCACCATAAATTGCTTTGGGTATATCCCTGGTTTCTGGACAAGCCAAATGTTCATCGCAGGCCTGATGGACAACTAGTGTATTTGAATCGACCAAGCAGTGGCTTTTTTTAGAGATGACCCATCTAAAATCTATCTATGATGTTGGAACCCATCATTTGATACTGTTGGAACCACATCTAAAAGTTTAGAGATGACCCATCATTTAATGATGTTGGAACCCATTAGAACTTCCGTTTTTGAAAGCAATGTTGACCTGAAAGCCATGGCTCCATTTCTGTACACCCTGGAAGCATATGGAATCATGATCACAGCCTCGGTCTCCGCAGCAAACTCACCCGGGGCGAATTGAACCTCACCACTGGGAGGGAGGTTGACCTGGCTGCAGCTGAGGCCCGAGAGTTGGAAGGTATGCTTGGATGCAGTATGTACCTACAAACATAATATATATATATATATATACACTAAATATATACCCAACATTGCCCAACTAATATTATATAGCTATGTGCAGTGTAGAATATACATTGCTTCATCAATACCTATATATATACTCCTTACACCCTACATACACTACCTACACATGTTCCATAGCGTACCTATATACGGCTCATTGCATAGCGTGCCCGTATACTACATGCATATATACCCCCTGCAAGCTCTCTGTATACTCTCCACATGTATAAATATATATATATATATATTAATATATGTATACGTATTTATACTGACTATAAACTGGACATCAACCACCTACAGCTGCACAAACACTGCCAATGTAGGACTGTTGTTGTTGGGAACCCCCAGGCCACAGCGGGCGGAGGCAACCATCTA